TTTCTAGAGAAACGGTGGTGCTGCGTCGATGGGGGTAACAAGGTAATTTGGTAATATCAACTTAGTTGAAAATTTAAATTAACCACAGTAAAGAGTTATTTCCAGCTATTTAGACAAAATTATGGCTCCCATCGTCAAAACTTTGCCATCATATATCGAAGACAGCCACCATGCTATTTAAGTCTTCGCGACATTAATTTTCTAGGCAAAGACAAACTTCTCTTCACTGTGGACGTTACATCTCTTTTCACTGTCATTCCTAATGGCGAACGTCTTCTGGCCCTCAAAACTTTTTTCGATCAACGCACTGTTACGGAACCTAAATCTGAAATACTACTTCGCTTAGCTGAACTTGTGCTCACACTCAATTGTTTTTCAGTCAGGGACAACTTTTTCCAACAATCAGTGGTGTAGCCATGGGTACCAAGATGAGACCAAGCTAGGCCAATCTTTTTGTAGGTTTTGTCGAACACCCGCAATTTTTCAGCCAATACAACAGCCCTAAACCTGAACTCTACGGTCGCTACACTAACGACTGTATCGGCACTACCTCCTCTACGAGAGAGGAGCTAATTCAATTCATAACCGCGGTCAATTCCTTTCACCCGGCTTTAAAAGATACCGGGGAGATTTCCGACAGTTCTTTATCCTTGTTAGACATCAAAAGTTCAACTGAAGGCAACGGTTTATGTATTACAAACCTACAGACTCACGTAGTTACTTGTTGTATTCATCTTCGCATCCATCTCATGTCAAGAATTCCATTCCCTTATATCACTTTCTAAGGCTTCGTGTTTATGTAGTGATGATTTGTTGATAAACCCTGGGAAAACGAAGTTCATGTTGATAGGCACTAAGCAGATGATAAGTAAACATTCAGTTAATTTTACTGTTTTATTTATTGGAAGGAATCTCACGGCCGTCGAATAGGCGAGAGATCTAGGAGTATACATAGATTCACATCTGACCTATGACACTCATATCTCCCACCTAGTCTCTTTTTGCTTGACTAAACTGGTTCAGATCAACCCGTGAAATACTGTTTCGATAGAGAGACTTTAGTTTTAATTAGTACATCTCTTGTTTTTAGCAAAATGTTCTACTGTTCGCCTTTGTGGTCTAATACCTC